AATAAATTCCTGTTTGTTGAAGCCATCCCATTTGTGGTATATTCTTGTCATAGTGGCACTAGGTAACTAGAACAATGATCAAGAGGCAAAGGTATTGAAGGAAGAAGTCCAAGCTGCACTGAAGGTACTGGCAAAAAACAAGACTCCATGAACTGATGGAATATTAATGGAAATGTTTTAGCAAATGGACGCAATGCTGGAGGTGCTCACTAGTCAGTGCCAAGAAATTTGGTAGGCAGCTGCCTAGCCAATGGACTGGAAGAGATACATATTTGTGCCCATTCCAAAGAAAGGTGATCAAATAGAATGTGGAAGTTATTGAACAATATCATTAGTATCACATACAAGTAAAATTTTGCTGAAGATAATTACTATTGTAATAGTACATCGACAGTGAACTGGCAGAAATTCAAGCTGGATTCAGAAGAGAACATGATATGAGGGAAATTATTGCTGATATCAGGCAGATCTTGGCTGAAAGTAGAAAATATCAGAAAGATGTTTATCTGTGTTTTATTGACTATGCAAAAGCATTTGACTGAGTGGATCATAACAAATTATGGATAACATTGTGAAGAATGGAAATTCCAGAACACATAATTGTGCTCATGTGGAACCTGTACATAGATCAAGAAGCAGTTATTCGAATAGAACAAGGGGATATTGCATGGTTTAAAATCAGGAAATGTACGCATCAGGGTTGTATCCTTTCACCATACTTACTCAATCTGTATGCTGAGCAAATAATCTGAGAAGCTGGACTCCAGGAAGAAGAACATGGCATTAGGATTAGAGGAAGACTCACTAACAACCTGTGCTATGCTAATGACACAGCCTTGCTTGTGAAAGCAAAGAGGACTTGAAGCACTTACTGATAAACATCAAAGATTATATAGCCTTCAGTATGGATTACACAGCAACATAAAGAAAACAAAAATCCTTGCAACTGGAAGCAACATCAGGATCATGCAGAAATATTAAAATTGTCAAGAATTTATTTCAAGGAAATGGCTAACACAGTTGTGGAGGCTGGCAAGTCCCGAATCCATGGGTCAGGCATCAAGTTGGAGGATTTTTCTGACTCACATTGTTGCAGGGGCTGACGAACCCAAAATCTGCAGGTCAGGTGGCAGGGTGCTGGCTCACATCCAAGAACCAGAGGTCAGATGATAATAAGTCAGATGCAGGATCAAGAGAGAGCTTTGCCAGAACATCAATATACAGTCATGTGTTGCATAATGTCCATTTGGGTAACATCCAAACACATAGACATCTGTGGTCCCAACCACTGTAAGCTTATTCTATTAAAAATTCAAGGGACATGCAATAGTTTATAGCAACAAGTGGCATAACTTTGAGACATACATCAAAACATTATTATTATTAACAAAAAAGGAAAGAAAAACATTTTTATTATAATTATTACTGTATTACGTTGAAGATATTTCCATGGTTCTCGAAGTATTTCTTTAATGATCTTTATGCATAAAAGGTATACTATTGTGGTAGTTAAATTTGTATGTCAACTTGGCTGAGTCTGGTTGAGTAGCTGGGAAGCTGGTGGTAGTTATTCCCCATGAGGAGACTGGCAATCAACTCCATGGTGGGATATACCACAAGCAGCTAAGTAGCTGCCTTTGGGATGTGTTCTGC